TTTTTTTTTTTTAACATATATTGTATTATTTGTTTCAGAGGTACAGATCTGTGATTCAACAGTCTTGCACAATTCACATAGTTCTCTTTTTTCATAGTGTCTTTGTCTGGTTTTGGTATCAGGGTAATGCCTCATAGAATGTATTTGGAAGCTTTCCTTCCTCTATTTTTTTGGAGTAATTTGAGGAGAATAGGTATTAACTCTTTAACTGTTTGGTGGAATTCACCTGTGAATCCATGTGGTGGTCCTGGACTCTACTTAGTGCCATTTTGTTAATTATTTTCTGGTTGTTTTTTTAGTTTATCTCTGTTCCTTCTTTTCTTGTGGTTTGTTCTCTTCCCTTGTGGTTTGATGGCTTGCTTTCTTTAATACTATGCTTGGTTTCCTTTCTCTTTATTTTCTGTGTATTATAAGTTTTTGGTTTATGGTTACCATTGGGTTCATATACAACCTCCTATGTGTATGGCAGTCTATAGGTCTATTTTAAGTTGGTGATTGCTTAAGGTTAAATACATTCTAAAAGCACTAATTTTTCCTCCCCATCTACAGTTTGTGTACCTGATGTCATATTTTACATCTTTTTGCGTATCCCTTGACTAATTTTTGTAGATATAACTGGTCTTACTACTTTTGTGTTTTAACCTCCATACTGGCATCATAAGTGATTAATCTACTACCTTTACTATATGTTTCCTTTTACTTGGGAAATTTTTTCCTTTCACAATTTTCTTCTAGTTGCGGGACTTTCTTTCCACTTAAAGAAGTCACTTTAACATTTCTTGTAAGTCTAGTTTAGTGGTGATGAATTCTTAACTTTTGTTTGTTTGGGAAATTCTTTCTCTCCTCCAATTCTGAATGATAGCCTTGCTGGGTAGAGTGTTCTTGGTTGTAGGTTTTTTCCTTTCAGCACCTTGAATATATCATGCCAGTCTGGCCTGCAAAGTTTCTGCTGAAATATCAGCTCACAACCTTATGGGGTTTCCCTTGTATGTAACTGTTTTCTCCTCCTGCTCTTAAGATTCTCTCTTTATCCTTAACCTTTGTGACTTTAATTATTATATGTCTAGGTGTGGATCTCCTTGGTTCATCTTGTTAGGGGCTCTCTATGCCTCCTGGATCTTGGCTGTCTGTTTCATTCCATAGATTAGGAAAACTTTCAGCTATTATTTCTTCAAATAGGTTTTCTGCCCCCTTATGTCTCTTTCTTCTGGGGCCTCTATAGTGTGAATGTTATTATGCTTGATGATGTTGCAGATATCCCTTAACCTATCCTCATTTTTATTTATTTATTTATTTATAAAGATTTTATTTATTTGAGAGAGAGAATGAGAGAGAGAGAGCACATGAGAGGGGGGAGGATCAGAGGGAGAAGCAGACCCCCCGCTAAGCAAGGAGTCCGATATGGGACTCGATCCCGGGACTCCAGGATCATGACCTGAGCCGAAGGCAGTCGCCCAACCAACTGAGCCACCCAGGCGCCCCCTATCCTCATTTTTAAATATTCTCTTTTCTCTTTGCCTTGGTTGCTTTCATTATCCTGTCTTCCAGATTATTGACCCATTCTTCTGCATCCTCTAATCTGCTGTTGATTCCCTTGTGGTGTATTTTTAATTTCAGTTATGTATTCTGTTGTGACTGGTTCTTTTTTATATTTCCTGTCTCTTTGTTGAAGTTCTCACTGAAAACTCTTCTCTTGGGTCCATTGAGTATCTTTATGACTTCTACTTTTAATTATCTATCTAGCATATTGCTTATCTCTGTTTTGTTTAGCTCTTTTTTTGTGTGTGTGGCTTTGTCTAGTTCTTTCATTTGGGACATATTCCTGTGTCTGCTCGTTTTGTTTAACTCTATGTTTCTTTTTATTGCCATCACGAGCTATTGGGGAAAGGTAAACTGCAATGGGATACCACTAAACACCTACTATAGTGTCTATAATTTAAAAGAAAGTGTTGGTGAAGGTATGGAGGAATTAGAACTTTCACAAATTGCTGGTGAGAATGTAAAATGGTACATCTACTTTGGAAAGTTTGTATTATCTTTAAAAGTTAAACATATATTTGCCATATAACCTAGCCATTCTGCTCTTGGTATCTACCTAAGAGAAATGAAATATATATCCACACAAAGACTTGACCACGAATGTTCATAGCAGAAATTTTCCTAATAGCCAACAAGTAGAAACAACCCAAATATTCATCAGTCGATGAATGGGTAAACAAAATTTGGTATATCCATATAATGTAATACTATTCAGCAATAAAAGGAGTGAACAGATACATGCTACAACAGGGATGAATCTCAATTATGTTCCATGAAAAAAAGCCAAATGCAGAACACTATATGTTGTGTAATTCTATTTATATAAAATGTCCAGAAAAGGAACATCTGTAGAGACCAAGAGCAGATAGAATGGTTGTCTGGTAATGGGAGTAAAGATAAATTGCAGATGGGCTTGATCAATATTTTTGGGGCAGAAATGTTCTATAACTGGATTTTGGTGATGGTTGCCCAGCTCTGTAAAAGTTATTGCATAATTAAAAGATGTAAGATGGTGCATTTTGTGTTATACAGATTATATTTCAGTAAAAGTGTTTTTAAAAAGTGTGCCTGTGGACTCCCCTGGTATTGGCTGTATATAACCAAGGCTCCTGAGAAGCTGCTTTTGTTCTTAACTCTTTGTAAAGCTGTAAGCAGGAGAATTCCCTGTGGATTCAGAGGGTTCACTAGGATTTCATATTGGTTACTTTAGATCTGGTAATTGATGGACACAGTGGGGGCAATGTAGGACTTGGGTGTGAGCCCAGTATTATGAAAAGAATGGAAGCATTATCAAGGTGTTTGAATGGTATGGTTTGCTATCCTATTTTTCTCACCTAGATTTTTTTTTTTAAAAGATTTTATTTATGTATTTATTTATTTGAGAGAGAGAGAATGAGAGAGAGAGAGAGCATGAGAAGCAGGAGAGTCAGAGGGAGAAGCAGACTCCCTGCTGAGCAGAGAGCCTGATGTGGGACTCGATCCCGGGACTCCAGGATCATGACCTGAGCTGCAGGCAGTTGCTTAACCAACTGAGCCACCTAGATGCTCCTCTCACCTAGATTTTTAGTTTCAAAGCTGCCCCTAGGATTTGTGTGGGGAAGTTACTTTATAAGCATCCTATAGTGCAATTTGAGGACAAAACTTGCTCCTCAGGATGCATGGAGGCCATCTTTAGGGGAGATTTCCTTTAGGTGCAGGCCTCGTATTATCGTGGCCATGCCAGTCCCACAGCAAAGGTTCCTCTTGAGACAGATATCCCCTAGATATGGTTGGCCTATTTTCATTCTTCAAGCATTCTGAAATTCTTCTTCTTCTGCAAATATTCTCTGATTATATTTCATTAGTCTTTCCTTAAACCTTCATTCTCTCTAGATATATTGTGCTCCTAGCTGTAATAGAGGCTGTGGGAAGAGCATGAGTTTGGAGTCAACTGTATGGTTTAAATTCCAACTCTTAATTCCCTAGCCATATGACTTTTAGAAAAGTTTCTTAGGCTGAGACCTGATCTTGGAAATTGGTAAAATAGAGATAATTACACAATACAAAGGATTATTGTAAGATGAAACAAGGTCATGTATGGAAATCCCTGAGCACAGTTAGCTGGTACATAGTCAGTGTTCCTTGATTGTCAGAACCAGGTAGTGGAGTAGGTCCAGTGCATGGATTCTGGACCTGGATTTGCAACCATGCTTTTTCACTTCTAGCCAAGCGACCTTGGGCAAGTTCCCTAAGTTCTCTGTGCCTCTCTTTCTGCATCTATAAAATGGGCATATCGAAAGCACCCACCTGATTAGACCTGTCTGAAGATAAAATAAGTTAATATAGAAAGTATTTAGAATATTGCCTATCACATGATAAACTCTATGCATGCGGCAGCTGCTGTTCTCTCTCCAACCAATACAATGCCTTTATTCCCTTGGGGCAGCATATTTGATTTATGTGGATTAAATGTGTGGGTTATAGGGATGTAATCATGGTCACCCCATGGATGAGAAGGGAGATCTGCTTGGTCTGGCTGGTGGCCCACCAGCAGTGGGTTGTGACTTGCCTGTCTCACCATGCTCATCTTCCCACTCTGTGCTGATTCAGAGAGGGCCCCTTCCCCATAGAGGAACAGAACTGTTCTTGGATCAAGGTACACCAGTGGTTGCACTCCTCAGCTGGAATCAAATTCCTAGATCCTCCCACAGCTGTGGACCCTCTAAAATCCCTGCATGTAGCATTGTGGGTTATGATGAGACTCCTGTAAATTTATCTGTTCTGCCATAGTAACTTGTAAATACCATAAAGTTGAAATATTAAGCCCTTGGTTGAGGTAGTGGAAGAGATCTACTCTATTCTTCCTTTGTCTCAAGGATGATCTCATTGGAGACTGGTTTAAGGTTTTGGGGCCCTTTAGAATACATGTAGGTTAAGTGGACTTGATTTAAAGTAATTACCACTATTGTTTTATTTTCAGCTGATTACTTACCCTGGAACCAACCAAGACGAGAGCTCCTTCGTCCAGAACACCACTACCGGCCAGCATCAACCAGGTTTGATAGTAGAACTACACACCAGGATGACTATTCTATAAAGGGCCAAGTGAACACCATGAGCTGTAAGCCTCTGGCCATGCCCAAGCTCTGTAACATACCCCTGGAGGATCTGACTAACTACAAGATGAGCTACGTGGCCCACCCTATGGAGAAGCGCTTTGTGTATGAAGCAGAGAAGTTCAGACCCTGTGAAATCCCCTTTGAAAGTCTTACCACCCACAAAGAATCCTACCGGGGCCTGATGGGAGAGCCAGCCAAGAGCTTGAAACCGGCAGCCAGACCCTGCGGTTTAGACACACCTTTCTCTAACACCACTGAGTTTCGAGATAAGTACCAAGCTTGGCCAATGCCCCAGATGTTCTCCAAAATTCCTGTCACCTATGTCCCTCCTGAAGAAAAGATGGACCTTCTGACAACAGTGCAGGCCCATTACACATACCCTAAGGGTGCCCCAGCTCAGTCCTGCCGACCGGTGCTCTCAGTCAAGAAGGGTGGCAGCCGCTTTGAAGGCTCCACTACCACCAAGGACGACTATAAACAGTGGCCTGGCATGTGCCCAGAACTAGTCAAGCCTGTTCCCCAGCTGAACATTCCCACCGAGCCCTTGGATTGTCTGACCACGACTCGGGCCCACTATGTGCCCCACCCACCCATCAATACCAAAAGTTGTAAGCCTCCCTGGGCCGGCCCCCAAGGAAATATCCCTGTGGAGGGCCAGACCACATACAGCATCAGTTATACTCCCAAGGATATGGGCAGGTGCCTGGCTTCCTACGCTGAGCCCCCTGGCTACATCTTTGAGGAAACGGATGCTTTGGGGCACAGGATATACAGGCCAGTTTCCCAGACAGGCTCTCTGCAGAGCAGCTGTTTTTCTGTAGGTGATTCGGAAAACCCCAACCAGCGGGAGTTGGCAGTGTCAGCCTGATTTTTAAAAATCGTTACTTAGAAATTGCACAATACTTTTAAAAGCAGATGATTGAGAGTTATTCATTGGCCAAAAAAGAATTCCCCAAAATGGAAAAAAAAAATAGTCTTCATCATCATTTCCAGGACACTTGAATAAAATGAGAATCGCTTGACTCAAGGAAAATGACATTTAATCACTGGCTAAGTATTCCCCTTAACCCTCCCTCTGCTGCCTCCCCCACTTGGGTCCTTTACCTTGTGCTGATGGAATCAAAGCTGGTCTCAAGGGTTTTTCTCTGAACCAGAAATATTTTATTAATTCAATCATTGTATGAATTGACATTGTAATTTACCCTTGCCAAGTATGAAGTGCTGAAGAATAAACTTTATTTTGGGGGGAATGAATCTGCAGGTCTATGTGTTCACCCCCACGTGCTGTCTATGCAGAGGACGGGCTGTGTTCCTTGGGACCTTTGGGGAGGTTTCAGACTACAGCCCCCATTGCACTCCAGTACTCATGGGAGTGCTTTGAACTCAGTCTGGAATTTTGTGTTCGCTCTGCCCAGGGCTGCTTTACGGGGCATCTTTCTACCTTTTCACACCATGACACACTGGTAAGAATAGTGCTGTCTGAATGGGGCTTGGGTTTTTTTAGGCACAGGAAGGGGAGAGGGGAGAAAGAGATCCTACGGCAGTCCCAGGGGAGCATGGACTTGCCAGGTCTCTCTTACCCCCAAACCAGTGCTGGCTCTGATTCCAGGGCGAGGGGGAGGCAAAGGGACCCTTGGCAACCGGGTAGTTGGCAGGCTCCCCCTGGGCTGTGAACAGAAACTGTGGGCTCTCTAAGTACTTGGAGCCTGAAAAACATTGCCCTATGCTGGGCTGGTTCTTAGAAGGCTAGATCTGCTTTTCCTAAAATAACAGCTGTGACCAGACTTGTGACAAAGCTTGACATAGTGATGATTTGGACCCTGCTCTGGAGAAAGGGCTGGAGGTTTCTCTTTTGGATCAAAGGCTTGATTCTAAGGCTAAGTAATTCGATGATTTAAAAAAATTTTTTTTTAATGGGAAAGAATTGAGGAAAGATTTTGTCCAAGAGGACCTATGCCAGGTCAGATGGGTTCACGGTGTGGGTGAACCTCACTCAGAGCGATGCGGACTGACAGCAGGGACACTCACCTCCCTTCTGAGTCCACAGAACCCAAAATCTACTCCATGGTCTGAATAAACTTAGGAACGGTGTGTGAAGGAGGAAATTTCGGCTCAAGTCTGTAGAGCTGGGTTTAGGTTCAGTGCCTGGTTCATGGGTGAGAAACCTGTATCTTTTATCTGGGGTCCTGTCTTTCCAAGGCTCTTCCTTACCTGGCCCAGACCTCTCAGGTCCCCGTGCCTTGTGGCCTCCCTATGGGGTTGGTTTGTATCACTGGGTTGGGATCAAAATCATTTAATACTCTTGTTGCTTATTTGGTGTCTGGATACCTGCCTCTATGGGGTAGAGAGGCTCAGGGAAGTTATGCACCTTGCCCAAGGCCATACAGCATGGAGAGCACCAAGGTCAAGATAGGAACCCAGGCGTCAGATTCAAGATCCAGTGCTCTTCCCATGGGGCCAGGTACCTCCTATCTGCTGTGTCCCAGATCGCACGGCTCCCCCAGCACATCAAACCACATTTTCTCTGTCTGAGCTCCTTCCTGGAGTGCGTTAAGCTAAAGAAGACCACTAAGGAGGGTAGGTTTTATTACTTTTATTTCGTAAGTTTTACAAATCAGAGAAATATTGGCAGTTGACTTGAAAAGCCACCTAGTCCTAAATGCTTATAAAAATGCAATAATCTCTTAGGCTCCAGCACCTTGGCCTCCCCCCGTTATTGCTTCCCCATAGAAGAATTTAAAATTATTTTATCTGTTTCTGCTAATATTTTCCTTTATATTCCTAAGTCCTATGCATATACTATTGTTGGTTAACTTATGGATTTTAGACATGGTCTGTTTCGGTAGATTGGGAATTTTAATTCGTTTATACTTCCTGCTTCTCTCTCCCCCTTCTCAGTGTAGTTATAGGATAGTGCTCAGTATATCAAGACCGATAAGCTTTTCTAATGTTTCTGATGAGTACAAAGAAGCTGAAGAAGGATGGATGGACCTGGCTGATTAAAGAGTGCTAGCCCTCTTGGGGTGAGGGATTTCCCCCGAGTCCTTCCTTTGTGCCATGTAGGGGTGACCTCCAGGGTGACCCCAGGCCAGATGAGCCACTTAGGGCATCCCTACCTTGCCAACTTCTCCCAGAATTAAGGAATCTGCTCTCTCCTACTACCTGTCCTTTTTTGGTCTCAAAATATCCTTATTATTATGAAAGTGGTTAATACAGTGAAAAATACAGGAAACACAAACTACACAAAGGGGATACAGGTAGCTGTTACAGGGACTAGTGGAACCCAGTGGTTAGCAACATATGTGTAAGGAGAAAGTCCAGCAGACCTGGGCTTGCTTCCTGGCCCTTGTCGCCCATTGGCTAGGAGACCTTGGTCAAATTCTTTAAAATGTGAATAATAGCGGTAGTGGCCCCATGGCTTCATTGTTGGTGTCAATGATAGAATATATGTCAATCCCTTAGCCCTGGCTAATGGTTAACTCTAATTTAGATATAGGTGAGGATGATAGTGAGGATGATGAGGATGATGAAGATGGCTGCTGACTTCTGCCTCGCTGAATCTACTCATGA